GGACGGGGGGGTGTGGGGCAGTCCAGGGCTGGGGGTGGGGAGCTGGGAGGGATCCTGGTAGGGAAGATTGGCCTCCAGGTGAGAGGAAAATAGTGCTGTAGGATGTACGGGGCAGGAGACAGGGCAGGAGACCCGCAGGCAAACTGATTAGTGCGGTGCCCTAAGTCTTTTGGTCGTATTGTGCGTGATGTTTTCATACAATCATAGACTCATTCAGGTTGGAAAAGACCTTTGAGACTATCGAGCCCAGCCATCGACTTTTGTTCATTGCCTGTCTGTGGCTTTGCTTATCAGCTCGGCAGCTGCTTAATGTAGGGTTTTTTTCCCAGCGCTACAGTTCTAGCCTTTCACGGCCCCAGACAACACAGATTTCCCAGAGCGGGAGCTGTGTTGATGCAAGGGACACTGCAAAATGAGTCCTGTCTTCGGGTGGCTGCAGCCGAACTGCTTTATGAACAAGGAGTCCTGGACTCGGCAGATCCTTCAGATCTGGTGGAAGGCTTAACTTCTTTATCAGGGGTAAGCAGAAGAAAGATAGAGAAGGAGAGACAAGCACAGGCATTTTCAAACAAAACACATGCCGTAAGAGATTGTTTCACCCCTGTCCTGAGAGACCTGTGTTCACGGGACAGAGGGACGTTCAGTTTCCATCTCATTCAGCCCTTGTCCTCTCCCAGCTGGAAAGCAGCAGGGGCAATTACACCAGTTTTAAGAATGACTATATGCCAAGGGGCTGGAGCAATTTATACCTATTGCACAGCTGCTCTTCCAGGAGTGTGTGCATCACAGATGCTGCTCTTCAAGGGGCGAGGTGGAACAGACAGTAATATTTATACCATTGGCATTGCCATGTTTTGTCCTTGCCTTTCATACCTGTCACACCGATGATGAGTTCAGCGATGGGAGCACGAGCAAAGAAAAAAAAATCAGATACAAGCAATTAAATGTCACAGAACAACCCTGGGACAACAGCCTTCATATTCCTGGAAAAAATTGTCCTCCTAAATCAAGAAAGGGTAGGTTCCTGAGCACAATCACTAATCCATTGTAAGAAAAAGAAATGCAGAGTACCCTGCAAGCATTCTTCCATTATTTCATCCCAAATGACAAGTTGATTTGCTCTTCAGCACAGGAAGCACATCTTCTGGCCAGTCGTGGAAAACACAGAGCACAGTGTGGATGAAATGGGGGCAGCACTGACAGTCAAGCTTTGGCAAGGCAGGCAGGGCTGAAGCAGAGCATTATTTGAACAGAAGGCCTGGGACAGAAACACACTGCAGGAAAAGAGTAATTCAGTAGGTGGTGCCTGCTGCCAGGCGGCCAGGGTTCATGAGGCTACTTGAGCATTGCAGGTACGGTCTCTCTGCCAGGCAGCCAAGCACTTGAGTGCATGAAGTTCTTGAAGAGATTTTTTTGACGAGGGAAGGGGGAGGGTACTTCCCGGAAGAAAAGATACTAGGTCCGAGCTTCTGGCCAAGCTCTACTTTGGGTAACTGTGTCGGGTCTTCCTCAGGACTACAAACTGTTGTCTTTCAGAGTGCGCTCTTGCCCAGCTGACTTGTACTGCGGTGTGACTTTGGTGCATCTTAAAACCATTGCCACTTTCCGTACAGCTGTGTTGGTTGATAAGATGCACCTTTCAGATGCACACAGGAGGTGAAATCTTGCATTCTTCTCTTGGCTTAGATTCAATGAAAAGCAAAACACGCCAAGCAAGACTTTAAGCAAAGCTCTGCCTATGTAGGAGCAGAAAAAAAAGACACCTGTAATTGGCTTGAAGTAGCATTCACAAAGGAAGTATGAAAATCACACACTGTCCACAAAAAGTACTGTTCTCCATAATTATTACAGGGCTCTGATTTCAGTCATCTCTTTCTCTTTGCAGCAGCATCCCCATGGCCCTCTTCACAAGAACCAGCAGTCATCCTAACACCACCGACCCCATTCCCTGTAGGGCAGACAACACTACAGAGCCTAACCTGCCACACTCACATACCTACTATGCTCTCTGCTACTGCATCTTGATTTTGGCCATCATCTTTGGGAATGTGCTAGTCTGCTTAGCCGTGCTGAGGGAACGCACCTTGCAAACCACAACGAACTACCTTGTGGTGAGCCTGGCGGTGGCGGACTTGCTGGTGGCTACTTTGGTGATGCCATGGATGGTGTACCTGGAGGTGAGTACATCTTAGGAAAGATTAGCAGAATTTAGCCACAATACAGGTTCACCAGCATTAGTGCACACTCTCAGGATAGGCCAGTTCTGGTACAAATAAAGTCCATTCACATTTTAGCCCCCCAGCTATCTTTGGAGCACTTGTGAGGTGGGTGGCAGCCCACACTGTCACACAGGTGGCCCTCTTATGCTGGACACATGCCGGACAAATGCACCACAGTCCCACCCATCATCAGATACCGTTGAGCCTTGCTCTTCCTGGCAGAGCACAGCCTCTTTGAGCTTGAATAGCAGCTGGGCTACAGCCAGTAATGTAGCTTGTGTGTTCTGATGTCCTAATACCACTTTCATTTGAGCATCCTTGAAGCTGACTCCATCAGCCAGAAGGGTTGCCAGTGAGCACCATGATGATTCAGGAATGGCAGGGAAGGCAATACGGTGGAAATACCTTACAGGAGCTCATCTTAGAGCCCAGATCATTCCCTACTCCTGCTGGCCAGAAAACAAGTGAGAGCAATCAAATCCACATCTTCTGCAGAGTTTAAGAGCCTTAATATCCATGACATTAGGTCAGCTCCGAGCAATAGTCCCCAAGCAGGCTGACAAAGAGATGAAGCTGAAGAACATGCTCTAAAATCTCTTTAAGTCATGAGAGCATTTTCACAATAACTTCAAAAGACTTATCAAGCCCTTGGGGTCTTATTCTCCATTTCCCTGATCTTTGCACATCGTCCGGTGTGAAAATGTACTGGCATGCCTGTGCACAGTATGGACAACACCACCTAAGAGAGGGCAGCAAAGATGGAAACCAAATCCCCCCGCACTGCGGCAAAATCCTGAATTACTCAAACCACTGTGGGGCAAATATTTTTACTAAAGTAAATATATAAAGGTATGCTACAGCTGATATTTTATCTGTTCTTTTCCGTGTTTTTACACTTGTTCACAAAAATTGGTAAGTCTAGAAAAATTAGAGTGAACATCTATCAGCCATAAGCTTTTGGCTGAGCCCTAGTACTCATGCTAACAGAGACAGGATAAGCCTCTGAGCCATGATCTTGCTGAAGCCTCATGCTCTTTCTGTGAGGGGCAAGCCAGGATCAGGCTGAAGGGTAGAGTAAATATTCTGTTGGCAGCTGCCCACCTTTGGCTGACCTCTTTCCCACAAAACAAAGCAGAAGCAGAGAGGGATTTTGACCTGTGCACATGGACTGCGCATTGCGTGAACAGAAAGTAGGACAAGACAGGACACCACTAGCAAATGTCAGACCTACTATGTGCATACAAGGAGATTTGATCAAGTAGCAGGGGACTGGCAGTGGCCTACAGCCCTCCTCTGCCACTGGAGTATGTTAAATAGGCAACACAGCCCTAAACTTTGGCACTCAGCCTAGGCACTCCCCTTGTGTTAATCCAAGCTGCTCTCTCCCAAACTGTGCCCACTGCAGTCTCAGCAAGGCTACAATTGAGAGAAATTAAGGGTTTGCTCTGTGTACAAGCATTATTAATAAGGGCTTTGATGTTTAATTATTTATGTATAGCATTGCTGTGATCACCATGATGGGATGTGTGATCACAGAATAGTTTGGGTTGGAAGAAATCTTTAATGGTCATCTAGTGCAACCCCCCCCTGGCAGTGAGCAGGGACATTTTCAGCTAGATCGGGTTGCTCAGAGCCCTGTCCAACCATGTTCCTAATGAAGTCAGTAACAACAGCGTGTGGAGCGGTCCTGGAGCTGGCCTGCAGGACGTGTACAGCTCAGTTGTGTGACATCGAGTGATTAAAAAGCAAGGAATAAGTTGAGGGGTGGGCGAAAGGCATCCCAGCAAGACAGAATTAGACTCTGCAATTTGATTGCAACAGAAAAATATTATTAAAAGTTGAATTTTATTTCAGACTGGAATAGTCCATCACCTCAAGCATATTCCAATGTTTAATTAAATCACAATATGCTTTGCATTAGAAAAGACTTAGCACTGGCTCTCGGTGTGGACAGGGTAGGACTGAGGCACATCTGCGAAGCAGGCTCTGCCCCCATGCAGTACTGTGGTCGCGATTTGTGAGCACAACAGTAGATCTGTTCCCTAGTTGTGTTTGTAGACCCATTCAAGATTCATTTCCATCTGTGTGGACCTTGGATAATCAAAGTAGCTGAGCCAAGAGTCGCCCAAACAACAGACAGAAGAACCCCCACACATCCCAAGCCCAAACTACCAGTCCTAGCATTGAGCAGTATTTCCTAGAGAACTAGGCTGTAGGACTCCAGAAAGACTAAGATCTAAAAAACAGTCCAAAAAGCCCTGAAGTTGGTTAGATATTTGCTGCTGTTTATGGATCAGCGATGCTACCAATGAAGCAGAAATGGCAGTACACTGTGGGCCTGGAAATTGCCAAGAAATCATTCAGCCCCCAAAACCCTGTACAAATTCCTATTCATCTACTGAACATTTGCCAAACCAGACATCTGAGACCTGGCCATTATTTATGGAGAAGTCAAAGGTGGATGAATACCTCAGATTTAAATGTCACTTGTGAACTTTGTCCTTTACACTCAATTTTTAGCGCCATCTGTGGCCTGGACCTTCTCCATGAAATTTGTCTTTTTATCAGTCATGCACACCAGAACTGGCTCTTTCTGAGAAGTCTTTTGGGAAGGCTGAGACAGAGCAACAATAGGAACGTTTTATAACCTCAAAATCCTCACCTCCATCTAATGAAGTTTCTGGCATAAAAATGCTATTTCAGCACTGTGTCTAGCAATCTTCTGGGGTCAATGGGTAAGTCTAATATACCAGTACTGCTACCTCAGTTCTTTACTGACCTCTGATGCTGTGGCTGGCATGACTGCAGAAGCTCACCAAGGTTTCTAAGACAGTGGCATTAGAGTACCCTACCCACTGGAGTTTGATGGCATGAGATACCACAATGCCTTATAGTCATTGTATAAATGGAGGAGGACGTGTAGCAGCATGGCCTGGAGCATCATTCTCAGTCTTCTCACAACATCCAGTTCTACCTCCAAGGGGAAAAGAGCTTCAGAAGATGATTGCCAGTCTGCAGCTCTGTTCAGGGCATGTGAGAGTGACGCTGTCTCCTCTTCTGCGGCGCTCTCAGCGAGACCTACCACTGCTCTTTGAGTTCAAGGAGGTTGCCAGACTACCATCAAAGGGAGGGCACACGGTTGAGTTACTGCAGCTCAGCAGTTTGGCACTTGTCAACAGGCCTGACCGTGTGCATGCTCTTCATTAATCCTGCCATGCAAAAACATAAGCAGCCATTTCACAGCTGCAGGGAGCTAACAGCACCCCTAAGAAGAATGCTCTTTTAAACACAAAACGCTTAAGTGAGCATGCTTGGATGCACCGTTACTTACATGCCTGTCATTGCCTGACGCGACTTCATGTTCATACTTTTCCATTCATGTACACCTCAATATGGCATCATTATACTTATCTGATTTACAGAGATTCTTCTGTTTATTTTTAAGGATTCAGGAGAGTGATGGATTTGCGTAAGTTTATGAATGCACAGTATGGGGTTTTTTTTTAAACTGGAAGACTTCCTGTAGGGTTGGAAAGTTAAAAACAATAATACCACATTTTTGTGGATAAAGCAGACTGGCCATCGAGAAAGATGAGGTGAGAACATGACCTGAATAGTCTATAGGGAGCTGTAGCCTTGTCTTCAGCAAAGCCAGGATTTCATCCTGGACTCTATTCCCACATCTGCCACACACGCACTGAGTGGTAATGAGAGATTGTATCAGCTCATCTCCCTGTGGTTTGCTTTCATCAGCTGTGAGAGAATAATATTTGACCATCCACCTCACCCAGGCAGCTGTGAGGATTCATTCAATTAATACCTGTGATATGCTTTTAGATTCCTGGACAAAAGGCACCAGAGGGATAAAGAACATGTACCCTGCAAGCACATGAAAACCAGAAATGCACGCTAGCGAGTTCTAGCTGCTGCAGCAAAGATGAGTGGAACAGAGCAATAAAAGGAAAAGCAGAAATAGAATTTTTTAAATTATGAACATGGCTTGTAATAAAACAGGCTCCTCTTCGTTGTTAAATTCTGGAATAAATTCTGGGTTTGCATACCCTCCAGGTGAATATTAACTACTTCACTGACTTCAGCAGAGCTACTCCCCATTTTAGAAGTGGTGGCTGGTGGTGGAAGTGAGGATAGGTTTTAAGCCCAAATGTTTTGATCCGTCAAGCATCCTGTTAATACAAGCTAGAGCTTAGTATGCAGGTGATGTGATCTGAATGCATCATGCTGAGAGGGTTCACTTCAGAGCCATTCCCACCACCACCTTCTTCAGTTTTAATGGTTCACATTCTTGGGCTTAATGTTTGAATGTGCTCGGGACCTTGGAAACTCCCTCAGTTAAGTGCTTGCACATCTGCTGGGCAAGCAGCTGCTGGCTTTCATGCGAACACCTGGCACCAGCTCCTGGTGAAATATGCTTCAGACTCCACAGATCACACAGACACAGCATTGTATTTTGCCTCACACTACATAAACACACCTTATTGGGTCCCACTACAAAGGTTTCCAACAATTATAACTTTTTTTTAATATTTTGAGGTGGTCAAGCAAGTCTCAAAATCTGCTACTAAAGCAAAAACAGAGTAGGATTTCTTTGAAAACCGAACCTACCTATTAAGGTCCCTAATTTCAGAGGAACAGCCTTCGGTTTGCACATCCTGTAGTCCACCTAATTGTGCAGAAATCTCTAAGGGTTTGGTTTGTTTGTTGGGTTTTCCTTTGCTTGCTTTTTTAAAAAGAAAACAAAGGAGCCCCACAAGTATCAGAGAACTGAAGATGAAAGCACAGTTCCCTCCTGCATTTTGCAAGCCAATTCCCATTTCTCTCCCCTGCATTCACTCAGAGTCAGGGGTTCTAATGGAAGACTGCCTCGCTCGGTACCTGACTTCTGACTCGTGGCAGCTAGGTCCAGCAGAGAACAGCCTAAAGACACAG